CGACTGTCATAAAAAAGGACGAAAAAAATAGAGCCTAAAAATAAAACAAAAATGTCAAAACTTGTCAAAATCAATAGAATGAATTATTTTTGTATCCATGTTGAGAAGATTGAGTTGTCAATCCATGTATCCATTGCGAGAAAAAATTGCGGCAGAGGAGAACTGAAGCATGTCGAAATATTCCAAGAGAGACTTTCCAAAAAGTGAGAGAAGAATTTGAAAATCGTTTGTATTTTTGCATGGAACAAAACGGCTGTCATTTTGAGCAATTATTAAAATAAATTATCATTTTAAATTTCTTTCAAATTGTCACACCTACATTTCTTGTCACTAACCAGTAATTAAGTTGAAGTCTGTATGACCATCTTTTAGCAATTTCAATTAGCTTTCCAAAGAAGTGTCACAAGTGGGGTATCGCTATCTTGAGATTAGAAGTGAGGGGGTGCCACCCAGGGGTGGGTTGGGGTGGTTTGAAAAATACTTCATTTAATTGGGTCCCAATTTGTAACTTATGCTGAAAAAATCACCTTTTTCATTAATGTGCACCTAATTGTTCGTGTAAGGGTAGTTTTTCAATTTCACCCTAAAAACTTTATGATCATCATTTAGCATTTTTCATGAGCTTTCCAAAAAGACGCCACAAGTGGAGTATTGCCATTTAAGATTTTCAAGTGAGTAGGGGTGCCTCCTAAGGGATAGGTCGGGGTGGTTCAAAAAATACGTCATATGTATTCCCCCTCGATATTATAGAAACGGTACTTTTTATTTTTTTGATATCTTTATTGGTTTAAAAATTATAGCCATTGTAAGTTTTCAGTGGCCCACACTGTATATCCATTCTAAATATCTTGAGAACGGTTGCTCTTAGCGATTCTTACCAAGAGGCTCTTTTTATAAGTAAAAAAATTCGGAAATATATATTTTTTTCACAAAGTAGTTTACAGGTATGGACGAAACGTTATTACAGTTTCAAACAGTTAAATAGTATGTAAGTGGCGCCCCCTACAAGTCGGGGTCATATTGACATCGAAAACAAATTTCTATGTCAAAAAATATCCAGACTTTTTGACCAATTTTTATCCAAATATCCACCATATTTCAGAAATTATTTAGAAAAAAAACGAAATGAAAATGAAACTTCTACACCCTGTATCTCCGAAACGAAGCATTTTAGGACATACATTTAGAGGAATTTTTTCACTTGTTTTATCTGCATAATATGCTGCCGAAGTTTCCCGAATACAATTCGGACCATCCTGTATAACAATATATAAAAAATGTTCTAATGGCATCTCATAACCTGCTATAGAAAATAAAATCTTTTCAACGAGAGGATTACATCACAGTGACAGTTGCCTGTCTAGGGCACAATGAATACAAATTGTTTCACGGTCTGTTACTGTCATATAAATCCTTTTTTTTTATTCATCAGTAAATTGTTTTATTGAATTGGAAAATAATTTTTATCTCAACTCGTTAGGCAACCACAAAAACGCTCTCGAGTAAGATAGAATTCCTTTGCCAATTGTTTATGTAAAATAATATGTTCGAGCGCTTATACACAGATGGCAGCGCCAGTCTTTTTAAGATAGAAAATTTCAGATAAGAATGTTTTCAAAATAGCGCATAAATTCTGAAGGCGTAGAAACGGTATTTTTGTAGTATTTCCAAGTGGTTTTAAAATAGAAACACCAATTTATTGTATTAATATTTTAATACGCAGTATTAAAAAAAACATTGTTTTATAAATTAAGCAAATACCTCCTACAGTACTTCGACTCACTTAAAAATAATTTTCTTGGAATTGGGAGAGGCTATATTGCCATATTGGGGAATATAAATTCATAAAATTTGTTTTAATATGACAAAACATTTGTTATTTTTGATATACAGGGTGAGTTTCCTACGATGTTCTCTATGGGTATCTCGGAAACTACTGAAGATGGAGATTCGGTTAAATGGGGAAATAATTGCAGTTTTGTGGGGTCATAAATATGCGCCTTTCAGATTTTTGAAAAAGTTCATGGCTTACTAGATATTTCGAAAAAAACAAATTTTGGCTATATTAAAAATTGTCTCTAATTCCATTATAAGCTATTTTAGACAAAAAGTTTTCAGATAAAAGTTGTAGATAATTACATCCTTAATGAGATTGTAGCTTCCGTTTTTTTCTAAAGCCTGTCATTTTTAACATATAACACAAACATATGTATTTTTAAATGGAAACCATAGTTGGCCATGACTTCATAAATAGCGCCATTTTTTAAGCTTTTCAGCATTATAAGCTATAATATGTTTTCTTCGAAAAATTACTGAGTTATAGCAAATTTTTATAATTTTTAGACAATTTCACTTAGTTAGCCATGGAAACGAGTTTAATCTTGTCTTTGCTCTCAGAAATGTGAAGCTGTCAAATCCAAAATTTGTAAATTAAAATAAACAAAAATTGTAAATATGAATTTTTCAAATGAAGAAAAGCGTGTAACGTTGTACTTATCAATAATTAATTACAAACTTTAGCTTTTGTAATGAGGAAGAAATACATACATATACGTATCCGCGTTTAGACTTTTCTATGACCCTTATTAACTACAATATAAATAACAGTTTTATTACTTTTATTAGTTCTAGCGTTCCCAGTTTCGTATTTTAATTACTATAATTGTTTAAATATCTGTCATAAATAGCTAGCGAATTTACCATTTTGTAATTAAATTCGGTATTTATTTCTGGTATTGATTTAATTATATTTTGTGTCCCATGCAACGTGCAGTTATTCAATATAGATATCCTATTTGCTTATGTTTTAATTTGACATTTAATGTATATATTCTGAATAATTTTCGAGGTATGCCGTCTCAAAAGTGGCTCACCCCTATAACTTTTTTAAATGGCACTCTTTTTTTTTAAATGGCACCCTCGGTATACTTTTACTTTATTCGATAGAAAATTGCACTCTGAATAGAATGGCATATCATTTGTCAACTTTTGACATTTTCTCTTAAAAAATAATATTTTACATCTAAATCTAGAGAACCTTGGCTGTTTTAAAAATACTAATTTTTAATCAACGAGCCAAAGAAGATTTGATGTAATTGTTGTAATTTCGTTTCTTTTTCTGGTCCATTAAAAGATGCCCAAATCGTATTTTAATCATATTGTGAACAAGGGTGGCTCATTAGCATATTTAGAAAAAGCATTTTTACGAATAATTTGATACCACACACTTTGTAGTGCGAGTTAAATTGTCGTTATGAACCGCATGTTACAACTTCAAATAAGCCATATGCAATTTTTTTTCTATCGAATAAAGTAAAAAAATTCCGACAGTGTCATTTAAAAATCAAAAGTTGGAGTCATTTCCGGTGAAACAGGAAGTAACCATAAATAATTGAATACGTCAATCAATCCTAATTTAAGTCATATACTAACATACCAAGTCTCGTTTTTTTCTCTGAAAAAGATAAAAAAGGTATAGGGGTGAGCCTCTTTTGAGACGCCACCCGGTATACTCTTTTATATCACTCTAAAAATTTTAGGAACATATTCGAAAGTATAGGTATTCAAAGTCGGTATTCCAGGTAGATATTCAAATTTATGTTAAATGTTAATATTTATATTAATAATATTTTCTCACAATAGGTCTATTCAGTTTTCTGTAGTAGACCCTGTATATCAATGTATGGATTATTCTTTAACCCATATTAAATACCTACAGTATAAATATCTGTTTATTATCTACTACTTATAAGTACGTTCAGTTTATTTTAATTGTTCGAAATACTAATAATATCAATAAAATTGTTTATTTATAGTCAATCTTTACCCAGCTAATATTTTCCATAATATATTAATAATACTCGCCTTGGCCTTAATTTTGAATAATTTATTTGCTATTTTACTAAGGGCAGTGTGATAATAAATGTTGATATATTTTAAAGTTAAACATTTAATATAGTAAATTTATATCATATTCCAATACATCAATTATGTACAGTTTGACAAATATAGGAAGTGACTTGGGGATAGCACCGGCCGTGCACACGATAGAGAGAGAATGATGCAGTTACGCTACGAAAAATTTGATTGAAGCAAATTTGTGGGATGTCCACTGCACATCGAGGGGCGTCTCTTATTTTATATTTCTCACGTCTCTAGCTATACTTGTTAAGTTGTAGAGCAAATGTTTGTAAGAAATAGAGTATAAATAAATATAATTAATAGTACCCTTATAGGAACTACGTAAAATACAAAATTTTTATCTTTAACGCAAACAGGCCCAAATGCTTTAGAATTTTTTGTTCTAATTTCCAAAATGAAAGAACCTTTGATTTTTGAAATGAATCATATTTTTAATTGGTTTTGTCTAAAAACAAAATTTGATTTATTTATACTGATATAATATTTTTAGAAAATAAAAATATTGTCATATATGAATAAATATGTTTACTCGGTGTTTAGGAATAATATTGTTTAAGATTTGATATACATCTATAAATATATCGGTAATTGCAATTTAATATGTGCATATTTTGTCTTTAAAAGCCTTTGTAAACAAGTATGTTTTTATGATTATTACTATTATGTAATAACTAATTAATTTTTTGTATTTATGGTCAACAATTTTAAAAATATAACTATAGCTTCGTATGTAATTAATATTAATAGCATTTTACTATAAAAGAGAGACGTTAAAAATAATAATTTGTACCTTTTATAGAGTAAATAATTTCTATGGGAAGATATTCATATAAATTTTTCTTTTATTACTTGATTTTCTTAAGCTTTTTCTTTGACAAAAAAATCCTTCTGTAACTTCTCTAATCATTACAGCTTTTATCTTGTCCTTGCATATTTTTTTAGTTACAAAGTGTCAATGCCTGTATGCTCCAAACACTTGTAATCCGTTTTTTGCTAGATTTTTAAATACTTTATAAGGGTGTTAACAACAAGTAAAAACATATTATCGTATATTTAAATATGATTTTTTTTCTTTTCAGTCATGGGGAAGATCTAATTGTCACTCCGTTTGCACAAATTCTTGCCAGTCTTCGCAGTGTTCGCAATAACTTCCAATGTCTCACCAACGTACCATCCAACAAGTAAGTATAATTAAGTATAATTTTAATTAGTGTTGCACAAGAGTCTTAAAAAAGTCTTGTAAGATCAAGACTCTTGCAAGAAATTCAAGACAAGCCTTTCAAAATTTCTCGTCTTGAATTTCAAGACAAGACAAGACTTTAATATGCAAGAAATTTCAAGAGTACAGACATAACAAAAAAAATCTCTTCATGGGCTATATTGACTATCAGAAAGCGTTCGACTCCATACCACACAGCTGGCTGTTGCAAGTTCTAGAAATCTACAATGTTGACCCCAAAATCTGCCGATTCTTTAAAGAGACCATGCCTTCATGGACGACCTCCCTCAACCTCAGGTCTGCTCCCTTTGACATAACATCGCCAAAAATTCCAATTCGTAGAGGGATATTCCAAGGGGATTCTTTTAGCGCCCTTTGGTTTTGTCTAGCCTTAAATCCACTATCGCGGATAATCAATGAAACAGGTTATGGATTCTCACTACGAACGAGAAACAGACGTCATCTCATTACACACCTACTATACATGGATGACTTGAAGATATATGCTGCAACAAAAAACCAACTTGAAAACCTTCTGCGTACCGTTCATAAAATCAGCGCAGATATTGGAATGACCTTTGGTACGAGCAAATGTCAGACTGTTTCAATCATAAGAGGAAAACTATGCGAAACACCAGAATTGAATCTAGATGAGAAAACTATTATCTCCGCAATGTCGACTGAGCCGTATAAATATCTTGGAATGCTACAAACACACAAAATAGAACATGGAATTATTAAAAACCGCCTATCGACCGCCTTCCGACTGCGACTTACCTCCCTTCTAAAGACAGGTTTGAATTCTAAGAACCTCTTTAAAGCAATAAACACTTATGCCCTACCGGTTCTTACATATTCTTTTGGAATAGTCAAATGGACCCATACAGACTTGGAATCCCTAAATCGCCTGGTACGAACAACCTTAACCAAATTTAGAAATCACCACCCAAGAGGCGCACGGAACGGGTGACCCTCCCTCGAAATCTTGGAGGTAGAGGTTTACTGGATGTTGTTAATGTCTGTCGGGAGCAAATAAAGAGCCTCAGAGAATACTTTTATACCAAGAACAGCAACCTTTACGTCACGGTGTCTTCAGCTGATGTCAAATACACCCCCTTGAACCTCAGTAGAAACAATATGGTGCTTTTCCAACTCCTACATCAATCACTAATAAAATAGCTACTTGGGGAGCCAAGGAGTTACACGGACGGTACCTAAATGAGCTAGATCAACATCACATTGAAAAGGTGGAATCATTGCACTGGTTAACATCGGGTTATCTCTACCCAGAAACCGAGGGATTCATAGTGGCTATGCAAGACCAAGTTATTCCAACACGCAACTACCGGAAACTCATCCTAAAGGAGAATATATCAGACAAGTGCCGTAGATGTGATTCTGGAAGTGAAAACATAGAACACATTTTATCAGGGTGCAGTAATCTTGCGAGTACAAAGTATCTGGAAAGACACAACAGAGTCGCATCAATCATCTACTTGGAGATCCTCAAACAATTCAACATTGACCGAGGAATCCAAGAGCCCTACTACAAATATCATCCACCACCCGTAGTCGAAAGTAATAGTTTCAAAATATACTGGGATAAAACAATCTTAACAAATAAAACCATTAGAAGTAACAGACCGGACATCACGCTTATAAATAAAATTAAAAAAACAGTTTTACTAATTGATATTTCTATTCCTAACAACAACAATATACAAAGCAAGTTTACAGAAAAAATAACAAAGTATCAAGATTTGAGAATAGAAATAAAAAATATATGGCAAATGGAATCGGTCCAGGTAGTCCCCTTGAGTGTCTCAGCCATTGGAATTATCCCGGTCAACCTGAAAGAACAAAGAGACATGTTCGATTTATATTCAATACTAGAATTTAAAGAACTAATAGAAATATAGAATCTTCTTACAATGCGCAGTAGATAACGCAACGTTTACCGGCAGCCAGACGGGCCGCATGCTGTTCTAGAGAGCATAGTAAAAGATATCAAAGAGCCAGACGAATAGAAATAGAAAGAACAGTCTTATAATACTTGTTTTTCCGGCGTTGCTAGCTCTCGTACTAGAAGTTTCACTTGAAAAATCGCGAATTTTCAAAATTGTTTTAATAATCGAAAAATGCTTCAGTAGGCCCTAAGTTAACTTAACTTACTAAAATTTGGTTTGGGTCCCATGCCCAACCAGTTATAAGTATAATACTTTGAAATTTTACCAGCGGCCGCAAGAAATAGGTACCTAACTTAGAAATTAAGTTAGTTATTATATAATTAGCCTAATTAATAACGGAGAACTGTTAAAGTAATTAAAGAAAAGAAAACTTATATAAATTCTAGCCCATAACGACAGCTTTTCATTTTCAAGATCTATTAGCGTCATCGTGAAATCCGACATAATCCAATCTACTTAATATAGTCTAATTAAGAAATTCGAACTGCATTAATTTGTAAGATTTCATATTAAGACGCGGCATAAAAGGCTTATTAGAGTTTCTTTGTATCTGACAGTTCGTAAATGAGCTCAATTCTCTATAGAGCCCCTCTATTCAAGTTTGCAAACTCGTCTGCCTCCATTGATAATAAAGGTTTCGAAGTACGCCTTTCAAGGTGAAGTGATAAACATAACGACAGTCTACGGGGCACAACTGATAAATAAGTTAGGCATTGTCACGGTTCTGTATTTAGAGCAACATGGCATAACAAAGTTAGAGACACAGTAACTTCGCTTGTTCCACCAAAGTTAATGAATTTTTAATTTTAAAGTTTTTTATGATTATTTTATTCTGTCTTCGTACAATATCACATAGCGTTGGCAATAAGTTTGCAAAGTTGGCAAATTTAGACAGTGTTTCATAGAAGAATGGACACTACAAGGAGCTTTTTTTGAGGCAATGTTTAATCAAAAGCATCCAAGTGTGGCTTTAAAGCAAGAAAAGAGCCGTCTAAAATGGAGAAATTTAACATGAACAGTTTATTAATTTTTCACATTAATAGAGGGTGTTTTTCAAAAGTCCTATAACTATGACTTAAGTCAGAATTGATTGACGTATTCAATTAGTTCTTGTCATTTCCTGTTTCACAGGAAATAACGACAAGTTTTGATTTTTAAATGGCATCTTCGGCATGTTTTACTTTATTTGATTAGAAAATGATATTCTGAATAGAATAACATGTATGTTAACTTTTGACAGCTTCGCTTAAAAATAATAGAGTTTTAATTTTCAATCTAGAATGCCATGGCTGTCTTACGACCATTAGTTTTTACTCAATGAGCCTTAAGAAAATAGATATGAAGGTCTAATGTTTTTCGAGACTTTTCATGGCCGGTTAAAAGATGTCCAAATCGTATTTCTAATCATAACTTATTTTTTTCATATGGAACAAGGGTGGTATACCAGTGCGTCTCAAAAGTGGCTCACGCCCTATAACTTTTTTATTTTTTCAGATAAAAAAACGAGATTTGCTATGTTAGTATATGACATAAATTAGGATTGATTGACGTATTCAATTGTTTTTGGTCACTTCCTGTTTCACCGGAAATGACTACAACTTTTAATTTTTAAATAGCACCCGCGGTAAATTTCTACTTTATTCGATAGAAAATGACGCTCTGAATAGAATGATATATCATATACGTCAACTTTTGACATTTTTGTTTAAAAAAAATCGTATTTTAAATTTCAGGTGGCTGTGTTAATCAAGGAGTCTTGGAAAAATAGAATTGATTAGTAGTGGGAACTATCGAATGAATACTATCGAAACATTCGATAGTTGCAATTCATTCGAATAATTCGATAGTTAGTAAGAAAACATTCGTTGAAAACTATTCGAATAAAAATTATCGAATAGATCCGTCATCTGCCTTGAAACATTGTATTCTAGTAATTCGGCAGCAAAAACCATTCATTTATAAAATTCATTCATTTATGAAATTCATTTATTCGTCAGGATCGATTATAATAAAATATTAACTGAATTTTAGTTGTCGCCCGGCGACGTAGGTTTCTTTCCGAGAAAACCGACAGCGGTCGGTGGCAATGCTATGAAAGAAGCCGGCATCTTTGATTTTTTGCGGAGTCAGATAAAAATAAGGACACATTCTTTTTTTTATTAAGGTGCTAGTATTTACACAGAAAATACATAATGAAGGGCGCTGTTGCCATATTTTGGTATTAGTTGATTAGCAAAGAATATTATTGTTTGGCTTTAGTTAGTTAGGGATAGTATGTCTATATATTCTGCATTTTTTTTTATTAATATTCTGTTGTTACACTGCAATAATACTTGTTATTTTGGATGTAGGAAAATGATTTTTAATATTTTAAAGCAGACTGGTTTAATAAATAATAATAACAGTAATAATTTGTTATACCTATTAACAACAAAATTTAAAATCATTTAATGTAAACATTATTTTAAGTAGTAGCAAAATATAAACAACAAATTAGATGTCAAAATTATTTATATTAGATCCTATTTAAATATTTAAAAATAATATACTCATAATAAATTTTTTGGCAACGTTGGTTTATTAAAGAATAATAATTATAGAACTAATTTGTTATATTAACAACAAATTTTAAAATCATGAAATATAAACATTTATTAATTTTCTAAGCATGCAATGTAATGGAAGGAAAATATAAATAAAAAATTAGAAATCAAAATTATTTATATTAGGTGCTTTATATTACTATTTAAAAATTATATTTACTTTTACTGGCATTTACTTTTACTGGCATTTACTTTTTTTACGCAAAAAACTACATGTAAGAGAATTAGCATAAACAAAATACAAACATTGTTAACCTTTTTTTTAAATTGGCACGTGTAAAACTTTCATTTTAATTTTCTCACCCCATAGTTTTAGTTCGATAACCATTACCACATTACTTAAATATGATTATTAAGTTCAACTAATTCATATTATTAACACATCTAAAATACAAATATGTATTTTTAAAATTAATTGTTAGTTCATCTCATCTCTCATAAAAACTGCTACTTCTCAAAATTTCCCATTAAAAAATAGACCATATACCATATAAAATTAAATAATTGAAAGATCGGACTACGGAAAGCCACACAAATTTTCGGAAAAATTTTGACCACCTGCACATGCACACAATCGTCAATAAATAAAATTAAAAAAAACTACTATTTTAGTATTTTAAATATTTTAATAAACGCAAGAATAGCACAGTATTTATACGGCGAAGTTATAAAAATTTGGAAGAATTAATAATGCACTGACGCACACAAAAATCAAATGAATACTAAATTTCATTTACCAAAAGCATTCGATAGTCGTGGCTCAACGATAATCATTTAGTCGCACGGCGAGGTTGTCACATATGCTTTAGTATACAAATGAATGAATGATTTTATTCGAATAAAACCATTCGATAGATGAAATAATTCATTCAGAAACCATTCGATAGTCTAATTCATTTGATAGTTCCCATCGCTAGAATTGATCGCCTCATGTTTTTCGTGTCTTGTCCTGGCCGGTTAAAAGATGCCCAAATCGTATTTTTAATCATATCTAAATTTTTTCAAACGGAACAAGGGTGGCTCATTAGCATATTTGGAAAAAAACATTTTTTACAAATAATTTGGTACCACATACTTGGTATTTCGAGTCAAATTGTCGTTATGAACCGCATGTTGCAATTTCACATAAACCATATTCGAAAATATCAATAGTTGACATATTATGATATAATTCAGTGTGTCATTTTCTATCGGATAAAGTAAAAACATACCGAGGGTGCCATTTAAAAATCAAAAGTTGTAGTCATTTCCGGTGAAACAGGAAGTGACCAAAAACAATTGAATACGTAAATCAATCCTAATTTATGCCATATACTAACATACCAAATCTCGTTTTTTTATCTGAAAAAATAAAAAAGATATAGGGGTGAGCCACTTTTGAGACGCACCGGGTATTAACAAAACGCATTTTTTACGAATAATTTGGGTATTGCTGCGGGTCTGGACCCACCCCCCCCTCCCCCCGAGAGCTTTACGCAAAAATCGCCAAGAATTTACTTTGGTATTGTAAAATATTCATTTTTCATTCCAACTATTGCTTTCTACAGGGTGTTTCAAAAAACATGTACCATCTCTAGTGAGGATATTCCTCACGTAAAAATAAGATTTATTTTTCTTATCAACACAGGTCCGATTCTGCTCTGTTTTGTAGCTAAAGGGTGTAGCTACAGAGGTTACAAAGTCTTAATAATCTTTCTATTTATTATAATTTTCGTCTAAGTACCTATTTTTAGTGATTCGAATGAAATTTTGGGGGTAAAAGTTACTATAAGTGCTACATATTTTAAAAAAGTGTCGATAGCATATGGGTTATTACTGGAATATTTTTCAAAAAAAAGCATGTGCGCCGCTGACTTATTCTTTTCGCTAACAAAAGGAAAAAAGTCAGTAGCGTACATGCTTTTTACAAAAATATTTTAGTAATAACCCATATCCACGTCCATGGTGAATATGTCGACATTTTTTAGCTTTAAAATATGTCGCATTTATTGTGACTTTTACCAACAAAGTTTCATTCGAAACGCTAAAAGTACTTGGAAGAAAATTATAATAAATCGAAAAATCTTAAGGCTGTAACACCCTGTAGCTACGAAACAAAGCAGAATCGGACCTATATTGATATGAAAAATAAATCCTATTTTTACGCGAGGAATCTCCCCACGTGAGATGGCACATGTTTTTTGAAACACCCTGTAGATTGGCACTCACAATTAGAACATGTTCAAAAAATTTTTAGAATAGTATCACAAACTAATTTAGAGTATTTTTTATTAATTAAGTTATTTTTGTATAATTTGTATTCTTTTTGTTCAGTTTTTTATTTTTATATCAGGTTTTTTAATTTTATATCTTTTTAGTTATTTTTTGTTATCAAAGATATTAATTATAGGTACTTTTTTATTTCGTGATCAATTTTTCTCTTTATTGGACCCCCCCTCCAAGCAAAAACATAAATATGCCATTGCTTTAGATTGAAATTTGAGAAACTATTTTTTAAGAGAAAAAGTAAAAAATTGATATATTATGAGGTGTCATTTTATTCAAAATGTCATTTTCTAGCGAATAAAGTAAAAAATACCGAAGGTGTCATTTATAAATAAAAACAGAAGTTGTAGTAATTTCTGGAGAGACAGGAAATGGCCAAAAAAACCGAGTAACTTTAATCAATTCTAATTTATGTCATATGTATATTGTTACAACCACCCGGTCTATTAAAGATAACCAACTGTCCAGTAGCATTAATATCATAATGTTAACAATCTCGTTTTACTGTTATATTATATTTCCAAATTTATTTTCCAGATCCAGACGATCTTCTGGAGCTGCCTCCGTTTCTACACCCCAACCACGAAATTTAAACCCCGGAGGTAAGTTACTTTACCAGTTTGGGCGTTGTTGAATATACTCGTATAATCCTATGGCTTTGCAGTGGGCGTTATAGTATTAAAGTTCGAACAAAATATGCGTCAAAATTGTGTTTTTTACCCCTTCGCCTACATAAAAGGTCGGTTAGACTGTAAACAAAGTAGTTTCGTTTACATTCTTACTTAAATACTTTATAGAAAGTTTTTTAGATGGAAGGCATTGTGAAATTACGATTAAAAAGGTTTATTTAAAAAATTCAAATTATAGTTTTTAGTTCGTTTCATATGTGGGTGACCTAAAAATACACTCACCGGTACGAAAAAACGGGCACATTCGAATGTAGAATGTCGGGAGTTAATCACCGCGACCTCATAGATCTATTGCGTATTAGACCCTTATAGAGCCTTTCTTGAGTTATAACGAGTTATAATGGTTCCCGCTTGGAAAATAGAATGGTTCTGGTCCAGTTAGTAGAGTGTTCGCTCCTTTTCTCGCTAAATAATTTGCTTTTTCATTGCCCTTCTATCCCTTGGTGGGGATAGAAGGGCAATGAAAAAGCAAATTATTTAGCTCTAATTAGTTAATTAATAATTATTAACACTCTACCACTGGACCTTGGTGGAGGAAGCCAAGGAACAATTATGTTCATACAAAACCGGCTAGTAGAAGAACTACAGTCGGATGAGATTCTGGGAATGATCTCGGACCTTACACCACCAGTCCAACTCTTGACGCGCACCTACAACGTCCTGTTTCCGAATAGGGACGAGTGGAATAAGCCGGGAAACGGTTTACTACATGCGGAAATGTGTTGGTACACGGACGGATCCAAAAACGAAAAAGGATCTGGAGCAGGAATTTACTGCAGCAGTCCAAAGACTGAGATCTACTACAGTCTTGGAAAACACACCACGATCTTCCAAGCTGAGCTATATGCTATTGAAACCTGTGTGCAACTGCTGGTAGAACAGCAATACACCGGGAAAACAATATGCATATTTTCGGATAGTCAAGCCGCGCTGAAAGCACTTGAGGCAACGAAAGCACGTCTATGACGATTCTTCATTGTAAGAAACTACTCAATATACTGGGAGATAGGAACAAAGTGTCGCTAATATGGATACCGGGACATGTCGGCCTAGAGGGAAATAAACGTGCTGATTCCCTCGCCAAAATTGGTGCAGGCTCGCCATTCGTGGGCCCAGAACACTTAGCGTTCCTAAAAATCTCGCAAGAGACAGGCTCTGTGAATGGGTTAGGAGTGCGACGTTCCGGGACTGGAATGACAGTCCCGGAATGGAACATGCCAAGAAAATCCTAGCAGGGCCATCCAAACATAGAACAGGAGAACTCCTAAAGGCCGACGTAGGAATGGAACGCGTGTGCTCACTGCAGTGTACACGGGCCACTGCCGGCTGAAATCTCACCTACAGAGGACGGGACTGGTGGAAGATGCCCAATGCCGACTCTGTATGGAAGATGACGAAACAATGAAGCACGTTATGTGTACCTGCCCCGCTGGGAGCAGGACCAGGTTTGAGATGTTTGGCAAACCCATGCTAGACCTATCAGACCTAGGAGACATATCGCCCTCAGACATAACGGCCTATATTAGGAGGCTGGGTCTTGAGGGTGAACTTTGACGCTCTTGTAAATTAGAGCGTGTAGAAACTGAGCCACAATAGGCCCTCGCGGCCTCAGTGGAGGGTCCCCATGGGACCCACTCTTAGTCAATACAATACAATACAATACAATCCCTTGGGCATTCTTTGACCAACTTCGAATTGACGGTTACTGAGTTGATCGCTTTTAGTGGTGCCCCATACAGCACATCAAATCACATTTACGATGTGTTTACATTATTAGACGTAGACACAGGATGACACAATTCCCCCAATGTAAATATGCTACGTTTACACATTGTAGTTCAACACGTATGCGTAAAGGTTAAACGTTATCCTCACAAAATAGCCACAGTATAGCATTTACGTATACACAAAATAAGGGATACACAGTGTGCCGTAGGATACACAGTGCTTGTGTATTACGTTCAAACTCTGTTTACACATTGCAGTTGTGACTACCGCGTGTATACGTATGTATTTTGCTTCGTATATCTTGTGCTAGATAAAACTACTTCTTATGAACGAATTTAGGAATTAATACACGTTTTGATGCCTAACTTTTCGTTCTTTTTAAGAAATATTTATTCAATGACACCAATTATATCTTTTTAGAACGAAAATTAGGAAGGCAAAACTTTGTATTTTCCAAAAGTATCTCGATCGTAAGTTCAAGAGAAGTAGCCTTAAAATTGTTCTATTTTTGTTTTATATTAAATGTACCATTTTTCATCCATAAAATGGATTTAAGTGGTTAAAAATTCTTATATTTCTTTATATCATGAAACGCAATATCGCAAATAACACAATAATAATAATTATTTACACTGCAGAAACCAGAAGTAAGAAAACACTGTAAAAGAACAGAATTTGTATCAAAATGTATTAAAAATATAAGTACCTAGTATAACAATACATACTAAAATAGTAAACACTGGTATATCGCCACGATTTGGTGGACCTCGTTTAGTCATTTTTTTCTCCTCTTTTCCCTCCAAGCAGTTGGTTTGTTAGCATACTCATTCAACGAGCACTCTGTTGGACTTTGTTGTATTTTATTTCCAACCTGGAACAATCTCACCCTTAAATTTTATATGAAACTGATTATTGAATATTAAACATATCTGTATATTGATCCATCAATAACTTGCCGAATATCAGTGTAAGAAGTTCTTTGAAGTGTTTAAATCTTTCTTTCTCTGGTCCATTTAGATTTTTATTATTTCCAAATTAAAAAAATATATATTGCAGAGCTAACCTCTTTATCATTATACGAGAATATTTGGAGTTTTCATTCATTGGAGTCAAAATTTGGTAAATTGGGTATCGAGTAAGGGAAGAGTCGCTGCTAATATTAATAATAGTCTTAGGAAGGTGTAACAAGATAATTAAAAACTTGTGCTTACCTTAAAATCTCTTTTAAACTACAGACAAACAGAACATTTATATAGAGCTTCCGAATGATAAAACAATAATGGCTGCTAACACATACCACTCCTAGAAAGGAGAAAGGAGAGAGGACACATAGATACACTTGGTCGGTGTGTCTACGCTGAGGCTACCCGCGCGTGCGCACACCTTCATTTCATGCTAGAATGTAAGACACAACAGTAAACTATTACAAACTGTCTATATAGATATTTATATTATGTGTATACGTCACATTTTTACAAGGTGTGTACTATAGGCACAACTATGATACGAAGTATCACACATACATATGACTTATACATTGTATGTCTCATATACCGACGTCAGATATCATGATTTTAATAATTATTTGTTACGTTACAAAAAACTCTTTAAAATCTTGAGTGCATACGGTATACAATTACTAAACACTGTATGACACAATTCTATCAATATAAACCTGCGTGTATCTCATATGTATATGTTAGAAATAGATGAACACTTAGGTTCACTTTAACATATTTTGTTCCACATGTGTCTCCCTTGTAGAAACGTAATTTCATTTGGACGTGCTGTATGGGCTTTACTATCGGATAAGATAATGGCTATTTCCTGTTTTTGATAGTTCCTATCTAAGATAAATTGTACGCATCTTTCGATAGCGTAAATTTATGCCTGAAGAATGCTGGGGTAGGTGCCCATTGGCTCGGAGTATTTAGTTTTCGGCCTAAATACTCCTATCCCTGTCCGTGCTTTGGTTTTGGAAGGATCAGTATACCACATTATGGTATGGTGTTTTACATGCTGAGCAAACGATTCCTCATTCCAGTCCTTTTTATTACTCAATACTACAATGAGGTGTTTCCCAAAGTTGTAAAACCTAACCCCCATTGGACATGTTCTCATGGCACCTGTGATACATGCCAGTCTTCAGGGGTGCTTACAAAAAAAGAAAAACCAAAAACTAAGACTTTTTTCAAGAAATGATCCCGCCACAAAGGTACAGACAATATTTACAACTCATTTCTTGTTGCCACGGTCGGTCGGTATTTTACTCCAAGGTATAATAATAATGTTTTCTGAAGTTTATGTTTTCTACTTTATTATTGTCCCTAACAAAACAATTAACTAATAAAATAAAACACTCAAAACTGTCATAAAAACTTCAATGGTCAAAAAAACAAAACGAAAACAAACATGTTATGATTTCATAAAATTCAAGGACGTGTTACAGTTATTTAAGATATCTGCTCATTGTTTTGAATAAAATGGATGTTTACATTTGCTCTACGTTATTATTACGACCAACATAATTGATTGAAGCAATAAATAATACATTTTATTATTAAAATTTGCAAGCAGCGAAATATTTTGGCCATTTTTTAGGATTCATTAAACTCGTTCGTAGTGAATAATATTTTTATGTGCGTGTTAAATTTATAGCTTTTAATATTTTCTTTGTCCCTGCTTTCAAGCAATTTATCAAATATTCAGTGTAATTCAATTTTCTCCAATACATCATAAGTGACATTTTGTTCAGCGCACGTTAGCAGGATGTATTTGCGTACTGACGTCATTAAACAGGTGTAATAAAGAAAAATGAATATTTTAAAGGATTTGATGGATAAGTTTTATAAGGCCTATGGCCTATGTGTAGTTTATTTTGTCTGTCTCTTCTGTTTCTGTCGTTTTAAGATTTAGATACAGATTAAGTGAAAATAATTTATAACTTAAATCATAAAACAATTACACATTTTTGAGTATATTAATTTGATGGAAAATCCAATATATGATTGAAATAGGTACTGCATTTTTGAAAGCTTTATATTTTCAAATTTATAAGAGGATATAAAATAAGATTATCTAAATATACAGGGGCGGATACAGGAATTTATTTTAGGAGGAGCCCAAAAAAAGTAATGTAGAATATGCTTTTTAGCGCGCCATTTTTAACCCAAAAGACTAATATT